ACACACACACACGTGGAGGCTTGACACACACACACACGTGGAGGCTTGAGACACACACACACACACACCCTTTAAAAAAGGCAGCTATCGATTAACTCTGGTTAGTTGAGTTCTGGTTGGTTGAACAACAGATAACAAACAAAAAAAATCCTGTGTACTCACTGATCTGCAGCATGCATCATCCTGTATGATCATGTGTCTATTTGTCTTAATTTGCTTTTGAATACTGCATTTCAATATTAATATGAAGTCAATACAGAGTTTATGTTATGATACGGTATAGTATGGGGTATGGCATTAAGACATTAATAGCAACCAAACTAGATTTATCCGGAATCTACCAATTCCCGTGGATGCCGGATAACAGGGAGTTTACTGTACAATAAACTGGTCAGGCACAACCCAGTCAATGAACAATTGAACCAGACAGAAGGGCCGTTGCATCACTTTTATTCTTGGCATTTACAATTTTCAGCTTTTTAGAAATGGAAACAGTAATGTGAAAAAAAGTCTACAGGGTTCTTACCAAGTTGGGTTAATCCAAATATATATATATTCCCTTGGCATTGCTTATGGCACACAGGCTACATATACATTTTATACAGATTTTCTGCACCAGAAACCTAAATTTCCTCCCTATAAAAAGGCTGGCACAAAATATAAAGGCACTGAAGAAATGTTGCAATCCGCTTCCACGTTTCCTAAAGCCAAGCTTGATTTTTTTTATTTTATAAATTATCTTCCAACACCACCCTGATATATATTTAAAACAAGAAGCTTAATAGCTTCTATATGTGTTTCTCTGTAGAAAAAGTGGGCATTGACCATAAAAAGGACTACATTTTAGAGATTTAGCCTTAGTTTCTATAGAATATTACATGTTCAAAACATAGGATTACAGTCTGCCCTTGCACTTCCTTTAGACATATCAGCAAAAATTTAGAATCTTGTAAAACATTAGACTAAAGTACAGTAACAAAATAATGCAAAAAGCAAGAGTAAAGCAATTCTTAAATGACAAACACATATAAAAACAATTTTCAGGAAGTGACATGCTGTGCCATGTCTGATCATGGAACGGCACTTGTGCAAATGTGTTCACAAATCGGGCGGCAAACGCCAGTTTGTGTCTTAATATGGCAATTTGGGGAAAGTGACATCACGGCATAATCTTGTGTCCAGCATCAGGTCACATCACTTCATATCCACTGCGAATTCCCTTCATTAAGCAGCAGGAAAAGACTATGCCCAAGATCTAAAAATAAAAAAAAAGTCAGGAGAAAAAGAAAACAAAATTAGTTCAGCTGCAAACAGGCAAGCGGCACACGAGATCGTTGGGTTTGCACAAATACTAAATATCAAAAGGCAGCACTCCAGTGGCCCCAATGACTCGAGGTCTCACTGCATTGACAAACATGTATTTATAAATAGCTACATATTTAGGTTAGAATATGCCCAATATACTAAATTGAGAACACTTTCCTGCTCAGATCAGGTATGTGATATAACAGTATCCTCTAATGTGGAAGAATCCAGTAGTCGTCATTGGAGAGTAAAGCAATATAAAACATCCTCAGTATTCGTAGCATCTTAAAAGCATATTTCCACTTTTCAGCCAATCTGGGATAACATTTTTTATTTGCAATGTTTCTCATTTCACATGTACACAGAATGCATGAAGCAGGCATATGCAGTTGCTGTATATGAACACAAACGTCCATTTTTGTTACTTTCCTCTTTATATCCTCATGAAAATGTCTGCCTCTGGTAAAATTGTTTTTTCTTTCAAAGAGCATGTATTGTGCAAGGCAAGACATTTAAAAAAATTAAAAAAACAAAAAAAAGAAGTAGTTCTCTGTACTGAATTTACCTCTGGAATGCAAGAGGGCTGGACAGGCTAAATGTTAACATAATTAACCCTGTCTGTACTGTGCTGGCAGATCTCATCAGGTGTAAACTAGATATTAACACTGTTGGTCCTAACAAAAAGGTTAAAGATCTGGAAGCATTGTATGTTAGGATGGGAAGCTCAGTCTGTCCTTATTTGTTTTATGTGGACAGTGTTTCCTCTCACTGGGAAATGAAATTAGAATTGAAATTTTCTCTGCTGCCATTCAAACAACCCTGGCATCCAGCCTGACGCCACCTCCCTGCCCTCACCTTCGAGAGCAGAGTGATGATAGTGGGTAGGCAACACACACACACACACACACACACACTTTAGGTTTAAACTCTACTCACCTCAAAGAAAGCAATTCCCAGAGCCACTCCAGCAATGATGCCTACATTTCTTTTCACCGACTCATCTATGCTTTGAATACAACCCTGTATGAGAAAGAAATGCACTTGAAGTAAACAGTATTATGAAAAAAATTTGAACATTCATATAAACCGTAACCATTCCTGTCCTAGAGTGACAACTCACTGTACTGTATCTATAAAAAAAAGGAGCAGAACTGTCACCCTGGGACTGAAAGCAGGTTAGGACTGCAAAATCCCTCTATGAGGGGATGTGTTCTATAGTCCACAGAGAACTGGACGGGGCTGATAAAAGTTACCTCTTAACAGTGCAGGTAGTTACAAGCTTACTAGATTTCTGGCAGAGCCAAACATTTTATGGAACAGATAAAATAATGCTTTTGATTGTATATTTAATAGCTCAAAAAAGAAAATGAAGAAGTTAATTAGGCTTTATGTAGTTAACTGATGGGATAAAATAACAGCCACTCAGAACACATTTTTATTATGGACTCAACTGACTACAATTTGACTGGGAAATTGCAGTGATACAACCAATTTTGGAGAACTGCAAAGCAGGAGGGGCGCCTGCATTCATAGTGAACAAATACTGCTGCCCTATGTCCATTAAAAAAATAAATTTATTAACTACACAGTAAAATTCACTAGAACACTGCGCTGAGGTATGCATATGGGACAAATCTGTTCAGCTGTAGACGGATAGCACATGGAAATGCCAAAGACAATGCATGAATTGAGGGGAAAACCCCTAAAAAAAAACCACCAAAAAAAACTCCACACCCACAGAACACCCGCCATCAGAATCTGAAGAACACTCTCAGGATGACGCAATACTTACAGTAGTGTAAATGTTGGTTGCATTCCTGCCACAGTTCGTTGTGATCACCTTGCAGCATGTGTCCGGAACAATGCCAGTGCCATTGAAAGGAGCATAGTCATTCCAGTCACTGGAGGCATTGGCACCACAGCATTTGAACTGAAAGGAAAAAAAGAACAAACAAAATGTGAAACTCAAATCCACAAAGAATCTAATCCTTGAAATTGGTATCACAAGTGAGAATATTCAGACTTGAAGGTGAAAAGAAAACTTCTTTCAAAAGGCCCTGCGCCAACAGGCTTGTGTTAATGGCACTAGTTTGACATCCCTCGGAGACTATTTCAGAATAAAAGGCTATGGGGATGCATGCAGGCCATGTCACAAGTGGTTATATTTGCAGAATGACCTCCCCACACCACTCATACTGTTCCAGACTAAAAAGGTGAGTGGAAACACACACACCTACCGCCAGCCCTTTCTGTTACTTACCTTCACAGATCTAAACACAGCCAATCGGACAGTTCCGCTTCAGACAGCACCCACCTCCACCACATTCCACCCTCATAGGCATGCACACAACCCAGGGCCACTGCTCAGTCACCTCAGCCTCCTATCGATCAGCTGCTGCCAGGAAAAGATGGGACAAGGCTGAGGTGTCAACTGCCTGTTGATTGAAGCAGTGTGCTAGAAGAGCTGGTCTGGTATCCCAACACTGCAGCGGTCGTCATCACAGGCCTAACCCCACCGTGTTCCTACAAGCTCCCCCCCCCAATCTGTGTCTGCACCCCATCTCTCTGAACACCACACTATCACCATTTTGCCTACATGCACCTCCCCTGCACCTCTACCTACTTGTACCACACCAGGTAGTCCAGGAAAAGCACTATAGGTCAGCATGCACCCCCTACCTAAGGCACACCACCCCCTATGCACATCACTCTTTTACCACCTCACCTGCAGGCCAAGACCCCCCCCCAATACAAACACAAGCTGCATTTACCCATGAACACAAGCTCTTACTTCAGTCAGACATTAACACTCTAGTCTAAACTAATGAACATTTAAAGAATATGGTGGGGGAAGGGATAGAATCATCAGGATTTCAATTGCCATCTGTGTCCATGCCTACTGCCTGACCCAGTCCACTCCTGGGACAGGAACTGGACAGTAATAAAGACCAGGCAAGAAGCTCCAAATAAGCTCTAAACCCCTCCTATAAGTTGTTCAACACACGTTGGTCAATGATGCTGAATGCCTAGGCCAGGACAGCATCAGTGATATTAGTTATTGTTTATTTTTGTATATTATAGGCCAACACCTGGACAAAAAGTTAAGGGGGGGGGTTATTTTGTCAATGAAGCCTCTATCCTGCATTTGATCACCAAGCCACATGGGCGAGGATGTTTAACCACTTGCCGTCTGCCCATTGTAAAAAAACGGACGGACGGCACTGCAGCATTGGTGGGTTGCCGTCTCCAGATGGCATTTTTTTCTGCGGGCGTGCACGGGCAGAAAAGACCCGACCGATGCAAACACCCGTTACCGGGTGTTTCACATATAGATGATCGGCGGCTCCATAGCCTGCCGATCGTCTTTATGTGCTCGTTTTTTCTCCCCCCCGACCCCTCACCTTCAATGCCGGGATCCGCTGCCCCATCTGCGGCCCGGGTCGGGAGGAAGAGGAAGGGAGACAGCTCCTTGCTGACCTCCCTCCGTGCTGTGAATGCAGAAGTGATGTGTGTTACATCACTTCCACATTCACCTGTCAGTCATCTGGCTGCTATAGCCAGAGAAAAGCTGATGAAGCAGATCTCTTCATCAGCTTCTTTTGGGGTGCACAGGTGACATTAGGGGTCCTAGGGACCCCCAATGTCTCCATAAAGAGGACCTGTCAGTGTGCCTTTGCTATTATATAGGGGGATTGTTATCCCCCTATATAATAGCAACAATAGGTGCAAAAAAAAAAAATATATAAATAAAAAAAATAAGTCCCATATAAAAAAGTAAAATAAAATAAAAAAGTCAGATAAAAAAAAAAAGGTAAAAAAACCCCCCAAATGTTTAACTCCCCCCACGCAGATATAAAACGTAAATACGCGTCCAGTGCACCAGCGCGCAGAAATGACAATTGCGCTACACACATAATGTCAGTCAAAAGTACCGCAGCGCTGAATACTGAAAAATGGCCTGGATGGGAAGGGGGTTTAACACCGCGGATGTCAACTGGTTAATAAACGTATCATAAAGGGAAGCATGCCAAGGAAAGTGAATGCACAGCTTGCAGGTGGAAACCGGCTGAGGCCTCGTTCAATGGGCTTCAGCTTGTTTAAGACCAGAGTGTACAACACGCTTTCGACAAGCCTCTGGCAGCTTTGTTGAAGAATTCACATTCTTCAAATTCAGTAGGTGTAGGTTTATCATATCCAAACCTTAAAACCCCT